TTCCTGCTGCCAAAGGCAGTGGTGCTGACCGTGCCAGCAGTGAGTGCCCAGTCAAGAGAAAACCGCCTTCTGAGTTGCACCATTCTTCCCACAGATCTGGTCCTGTGGCACTGGGATTTGCTTGTGCTTGCAGGGAGTCTGTAGCCGAGCCCCCTTGGCACAGTGAGCTACTGAGCTTTCAGCTGCTGACTTGCCAGCCTGTGTGCAAGTGACTTCTGAACAGGGGTTTACACTGACGTGATTTAAAGTGAAAACCCCAGCAGGATTTTCATGCCAGAATTCCCTTCATTTTTTTCTGTTAAAAGCCCCGATAACTGCCCTTTTTACTAGCTGCGCTAGCTTCAGGCTGATCTGTGTTGACATGGGCTCACCAAAGGAATTAAAGGTTAAGTGTGTGAAACGCCTTGAGCTCTCCAGTAAAGGTGCTGCAGAAGGGCAGAGCCTCTGCCAGGTTCAGAGCTGAGGCAGCAGTCTGCACAGAGAGCCCCCAGAGTACGCAGTCGATGTTCCTGTGCTCAGCAAGACGTGGTCTCTGGTGTGAGCAAGCTGCTTTTTCGAGCTGTGCACAGCATTTAAAGCTCCAGGAGGCTGAGCAGGTAGAAAACACTTGGGCCAGCAACACTCACTACCTTGGGCTTGGAGCAGAGTCTCATACCCGCTTTGTAAGCAGATCCATTAAATGAGTATGCTCAGGGAAAAGCAGCTCCCTGGAGCGCACGCTGGGCCTGGAATCGCCGCTGCCTGCAGCTCCCGCCCCGTGGCGCAGCGCTGCCCTCGAGCCCGCGCCTACCTTCTGCCAGCAGCTCCAGCGTGTCCGAGTTGCAGCCGTCAAACTTCAGCAGGTCCACGCCCCAGGAGGCGAACGTTTGGGCGTCCAGGTCGTAGTGATTGTAACTGCCAGGGAACCCGGCGCACGTTTTGTTCCCGACATCACCGTAGATTCCCAGCTTCAGCCCCCTGGAGTGGACCTGCACTTGCAGACAGACAGACAGACAGAGAGCTGGGGATGGGGCAGCAGGAAGCGGAGCTGGCCCGGCAAGCGAACCCAAACCTGTCTCTGGCAGGCAGGGCCTGAACTCAGCAGGCACCCGGCTGTCCCCACCCGGCCTGCCCCCGGCCCCCAGAGTGGCTGCAG